CTACTTCTCTGCAACAACCACAAAAATTCATATGTGACAATAACTGTAAAACATAATTAAACTTGTAAAGATTTCTCTGACCACAGAATAAGAATTTCCTTTTGGCTTAGGCCGCTGCAATTGTTCTTAGTCCTGAGCAAAATACAATTTATAACATTACAAATATCTGATGATTAAGCATAAAAAGGAAATTGTCGTATGCTACTGTTAAGGGTGGAGGGTCAGGGTGAGGCCTTGAGAAAAGGAGGAATCACTGAAAGCAGAGTCTGTGTTTAGTGTCACAAAGCAATGCACCCTAGGGACCCATCCTTCTCCAAAGTGGATAAAGGACGACTGAGGCAGGGGAGGCAGGGAGGAACACCGATGGTGACACTCCAGCAGATGGAACCTGATTCCCCAAGTCGACCCGTGCAAAGTAACCCTTGGAAAGGTGCCGGTGCACAAAGGACCTGGGAGACACCACTGGAAACCAGAGGCCAGGTCTGCTGCTAACAGGTCTGGGGCCCAGGGCAAGAGCGCACGTTCAGGTCCACAGACATGGACCATTTCCACGTGGAAATATTTTTAACTTACTAATCTAAGCAAACTGACTGTGAATTACGTTCTATCTGTCTACACTGAATTGGGAAGATCCCCTGGAGAAGGGAAAGGCTACCCACTCCAGTATTCTGGCCTGGAAAATGCCATGGACCATATAGTCCATGGGGTCACAAAGAGTTGGACACAACTGAGTGACTTTTACTTTCTTTATGTGAAATCTACACAATTATAGTATTTTCATCAGAAAGTTAACGTGCAAAAATAAAATTTTAAACTGCTGGGTCTTCAGAGAAGAATCTGTGTGAAGGGTTAACCTCTCCCAGAAAGAGGGCATCTCCAGCAGGAAGCTCTGGATTTCCTCAGCAACCCCAGGTCTTCCTGTCTCTCCAGCAAACGGCCACGGGACTACAATGGCCACTCTGCCCTGGGTCTGTAGCCTGCTGGCCTCCCTCATCAGACTGTGCACTTGCCAAACCTTCACAACAGTGTGAAGCCAATGTGTTAAAATACATCTGGGTGGGTTGGGTGGGGTGTGCGTATGTGTGTGTGTGCACAATTCACTTCTATTCAATCTGATTCTCTGGAAAACCCTGATCAACACAACACCAAACTCTACTCTCAAATCCCACTACCTAAGCCCCCAGGATTTTGCATACAAGCTGTATTTGCCCAGCTTTCACAAGGTTCTAGGCTCAGGACACAATCCATGCATACATCAGTCACTTGCTGAGAGCTAGAGTCAAACAAGGCAGACTGTCCCAGGCACCAAACAGCAGGATGCAAACTGGAGGCATGACCCTGGAACAGAGGCACGGTCATGGAAGGAGGGCACAACCCTGGAAGGTCAGCAAGGCCCAGGAATGGGGAGCCATAAGATGAGAGACTTCATAAGAAGCAGTGCGAGGTCAAGAGGCTTGTTCAGGACCTCAGAGGAAGAAGAGAAATTGAAGCGCACCTCTCCAAAAGGCTGGAAGGAGGTAGAAGCATGATGGAGACTGGAAAGATGGCGCTGAGGTGTCCTAGACAGACGACACCGGACAGAGGACACTGAGGGCCCCTGGACAGATTACACTGAGGGCCCCAAGACAGATTACACTGAGGGCGCCTGGGCAGAGGACACTGAGGGCTCCTGGACAGATTACACTGAGGGCCTCTGGACAGAGGATACTGAGGGACCCTGGACAGAGGATACTGAGGGCCCCTGGACAGAGGACACTGAGGGCTCCTGGACAGAGGACACTGAGGGCCCCTGGACAGATTACACTGAGGGCCCCTGGACAGATTACACTGTGGGCTCCTGGACAGATTACACTGCGGGCCCCTGGACAGAGGACACTGAGGGCTCCTGGCTCAGGGTCAGAGAGCAGGGAGGTTCACTAGTCAGTGTCAGGGCTGGGGAGAACAGCAGTCCCAAGGCTGTGCCAAGGGGGACGACCCTGTTTGAAGGTGAGTGGAGGCTTCCCTTACAGGCTTTATGTTAGGGTCACGGTAGTAAAGGGTCTGCCCACAGCAGGAACTGGGTCCAATGAGAGCTGAGAGCCCCCCACAAGGGACCACAGCCCAGTTGGGAGCCACCAGAGGTCAAGATCCCTGGATGGGCACTAGGGAACAAGCAAGAGAGCTGATGGGTGGGCTTGGGACTCCGACAGCATTAATCATGCAGAAGAGGGACCAGACAACAGGGCAAGGAAACCCACAGGACTAACTCACCCTCACTTCCACACAGAATTAAACACTGGCCTGATTTAAAGTACATATGCTGCAGGGTTAGGAAGCAAAAGAAAATAAACACATTTATGACTAACACCAAAAAGGAAAATCTCATAGTCCCGCTCTGTGCTTACAATTTTCCCATGGTGCAGGAAAACCCAAATAGCATCTGATACAATTTACATAACTTTACATAATCTCACGATTACCATTTGGCAAGGAAGCTCCAGAACAGATCTCTTCGTTTATTTGCCTCCAAAAATGACAAAATGGAAAACAGTCTGGACAGAAGTTTTCTATCCTCTTCTTAAAAATCTCAAAAAGCCAAATCCACCACTTTTCCTAATAATAATTTTCTTGAATTTTTCACATTAAACTGTCTAACATTTAGTCAACTCCAAGAGTCCACTTAGATTTACCTTTTCTCTTTGAGTTTATAGTATATATATTTAATTTTCTTATTAGTGTACAAATAAAATTCCAGTTACAGTATTAGAGAGCCAATGAAAACAATGTGATTGTTTAGGTTTTGTTAGTATTACTAAAATGTCATTAAATTTTTTTTAAAACTAGAAATTTTAAATGCTGATTGTCTCATGTAACACAAACAAACTTTTGTTTGAGTCCACAGTTAGAGAAGGGTTACAGCCTGGTAAGTTCTGTCACCCGCTCACGTTAGGGTCTTGTGTACCAATGGTCACATCTCTTATTTCACAATCAACTATAGCAAAAACAATAATTCCCCCAAATAGTCCAGCACCAGCTTCACAACCAAGCAGGATCCAGTCCCACAACCTAACAGAAGGGTACAGTCACACTTTCTCCCAACACTTCATGAATAAACATCCCTGTATTCAAATAAGTTACCTACTAACTCACTCCAGTCATTTTGATTCAACCTCGAATGGCAAAGAGAGTCATTCTGGCAAGACTGCAGAGTTTGCAATTCAAATTATGGAAATTTTAATAATGGGGAAAATAAAAATTAGTGGCATGAATCCTAAGGCACCAGAATTCCAATACTTTCCTTGCAACAGTAGAAAGCGCACATAAATATAATACCTCTCAATGTACAAGCCAGGGGCTGGGAAGGTAGGCGTTATTTGGATGGGCATTCTCGCATGTGTTTACCTGGAATCTCACAGGAGCATTCCTTTCCGGGATTCTGTGGGTACCTGCCAGGATGCCAAAGCTCCCCAAGCCCAGACGTTAAGAGGCAATGTTGTTACTTCTGAACAAATAACAGTGAAACAGTCATTGGGCTCAACGATTTCCTTACATTATCACCATAAACAATAATTATTTGGCAGCTGCCCTTTGCAAGCGTGAACGTGCTTGTGAATAAATCGAGCTGTATTGATTCAGCAAGCTGAAATGCTTTACATTTTGCTCCGGTATTAAGAGCTATCATCCTCCACTGCACTTAGTAAGGCTTTAATGTACTGTGCTCTTTAATACTTTTAATATGAAAGATTAGTGGCGATTAGCTCTGGAGCAGGAACACTGCTCTTGGAATGGCCAGTGGGTCACTAAATCCAAGTCTCTCTGAACATGTTTTTATTAAAGGAACTCTCTTAACAAAATGCCACGGAGCTGCTGCCATGCTGTTTCCTTCCTCCTGACATCAACAGAGTGATGATGGCCTGCACTGATTCAAAGATTAATTTCACTTAAAAGGACAAGGCAGGGACTTCCCTGGCAGACCAGTGGTCCAGAATCTGCCTTGCAGTGCAGGGGACTCTGGCTCAATCCCTGGTCAGGGAACTAAGATCCCAAATGCCATGGAGCAACTAAGACTGCATGATCAACCAGGTATGGCTGTGGGATGTACTTGGTTCTCTGTACGCAAGATTTCCACCTACTAAGCCCACACGTCACAACTAGAAAGTCTGTGCACCTTGATTAAGTGCCCATATGACTCAACAAAATGTCGCATGCCACAACTAAGACCCAAGGTAGCCAAATTAAATAAATAAATACACTTAAAACAAACAAACAAAAAGAGCAAGGCAGGAACATACAGGACTGCAAAAGATACCACATGCTCAGTAAAAGATCATCTAAAATTTTAAAAATGACCCTTTATCAGGGCAATGACTTTAGAAGACAGAAAGCTATTTGAAGAATCCCAAAATGACCTGAAAGACTGGAGCCCTGCACCCGACATGTGACCAGAGAGGCAGTCCTCTCCCTTCCCCTTTAATAAAATCACCCAAAACTCCCGTCCTCTTGCTTGATCCAACGATATGTTGAAACTGACATCCAAGTTCTGACTAGTCTCTCAGAAACTGAGTGCTCCCAGATCTCAGGGTTCCAAAGAGGAAGCAGTCTACAATTCTGTATCGAGTGAAACTCTATCCATGACAGGCAACAAAGGACTCAAACGCTCATCACGATTTCCCCACCAAGTTTGCTTCCTGATCCACAGAAACATCACTGGCCCCAAAGTCACAAAGAAACCTGACTTCTGTGCTTTGCACAGACTCCCAGGCTGGAATTCCACCGATTCTAATCCCAAAGCAAACTCCACTCTTTGTGCACCCAATAGGAAAACTGGTGGCCTCTTCCTCTCCTTCCCGAGGATAACAAACCAAGGCAGGTCATGCTGCGAAGCTCTTTAGAGATTATACACTATCACCTCTCATTTCAAAGATGAGAAGATGGAGAGGTCTCACCCAGGTCCCTACAGGAAATGGCAGACAAGAACCCCCATCTCTGGCTCCACCTGCCATGTTCCTGCTGTTTTCCACCCCGTGATTCCTGGGATCAGTGAGAAAATCTCTATCACCACACAGCATCTCAAACAAATACATGAGGTGTCATGGACCACTTGCACTCATGTTAAATAATCTGGGACGCCTTTCAAGTTTAACCATGACAAAGATCAACCAGGTACAGCTGTGGGATATACGTGTGACGAGCTCTGCAAGACAGAAAACCACACCACCCAGAATCCTTGTGCAAAAACACATTCCACGATTCCCTCTGGAATGAGCTGCTATCTCTGACTACAAAGCAATGATTATCCTGCACTACAGCAATCAATAAAATCTCCTGCCCCGTGAACCTGCGACTTCCTGACTTTGTTCTCTGTACGTAAGATTTCCAAGCCGTGTATCGATCACCTACTCAATTTTGTTAAAAGTTCTCTAAAACGAGCAATAAAGAAATTCTCCAATTAGCATCACTTGGGATGGTCTGAACAGACTTCAGATCTTTCAGTCACATTAATGGTGTCTCTTTCTCACGGGGTTTCCCCATTTTTCACTTGCAATTTGTCATTTTAAGTGTGTCTGGGTCTTGCCTAAGAGCACAAAGTCAAGAGGATACAAATTTGATGGTGTTTCTGAAACTAGGGCAGCTGCCACATTTTTCACCCAAGTGAGAAAGAAAAATTGATTCATCAACTCTGCCCTCTTTTCTACAGCTACAGCATGGAATTTTTTTTTTTTTTTAACTAAATGAACCCATCAGCTCTTAAGAGTATTAAAATTCTGTACCCTGGAACTTCTCTCTAAAATGACCCACTAGAGGATGTATTATAAAGTGAAGAAACCCACTTACATCTTCTCCGAGTGTTTTAAAAGTGTCAAAATTTAAGAGTAAGTCTTGAGATAAGCAAGGACAGCAAAAAGGCAGGATTTCACCCAGAAACAAGGCAAGATAACCCATCAGCAGGAAATAGAGAACAAGACTTCTACTGCCAGCATCACTTCGGCCTTCCTTTTCCTACCTCCAAAGACCCACACAAGGATTGATTAAGCTCAAACGCTGAAAAAGACCATGGTGGGTTCAGCCATCAGGTTCAGCTCCAACTCTTGAAAATGCACCCAGTTCCCCCTTACTTCAGCACCCTGAGGCTGAGGCCACTCAAGAAGAGATCATGAAAATGGTGGACCTTCCTAGGAAATCACAGTTATCAAATTGCTACAAGGTTTCTCTCTGAGCATCACAAGTGATGCCAGAGAACTAGGCCAGCCCACGCTCACCGTCCGGGGGCATGAGGGTCTTGTTGTTCTGCGTGCACCACCCCACGGGGTGCAGGTCTGCGATCACCACGTCACACCAGAAGTCAGCCCGGCGGTCCTCCCCATAACCACAGTAACGCAGCAGCAGCAGCTGCCCGCAGGTGGTGATGACCGTGGCCACCCAGTACGTGTCCGGGTTCTTTTTGTTGGCCACCTCCAGCTTCATCCCCGGCTGGAAGTTGCTCTGAATGCTGATCTCAACCTTAAAGAACCAAAAACACAAGAAATCCATCACACACTAGACACATAACATCCAGAACAAGAACGATTAAAAACATAACACTTTTAATATTTGTTTCCTGAGATCATCACCATCTAAGAGAAATATAACGTCAGCCACTGGTGAGTCATTAAATTTCCTAGTAGCCACTTGAAAAACAGATAAAACAGATGAAATTAATTTCAATAATGTATTTTATTCAACCCAAAGGATCCCAAGTAGCATCATTTCAAAATGTAATCAACATAAAAAAATAGTAATGAGAAAGTTTACATTCTAATTTTCCAAGGAAGCCTCTGAAATCTGGTGTGCATTCTACACTTAACGGTACATCCTGTTACTAAACAGAACTTGGGTCTGTTAATAAGAAGTGCAGTAAAGTCGATTGACAGACTGGGCTGTGGTGAAGGAAAGTACAGCATTTACTGCAGGGCCAAGCAAGGAGAATGGGCAGCTCATGCTCAAAAGACCCAAACTCCCTGGGTTTTTAAAGGCAACGTCAGGGGTGTGGGTCACAAGGTGGGAAATCTGCTAGTGCACAATTCTCTGACTGGTTGGTGGTGAGGTAACAGGGGTGATGTGTTGAAAAACTCAATCGTCAACTTTCTGGTTCCTTCATGTCTGGGGTCTACATGCTACTGATTGCCATGCAGTTAACCTCTTCTAGCTGGTGGGGGTTTCGGTATCCACAAAACTATTCAAGGATCATGCTCAGGATATTATCTGTAGCCCATGAGGAGGAATTAAGGGTCCCTGACTTTGTTTTAAGGCTAAACCATTATTATCTGGGGCTTTCCTGGTGGCTCAGTGGTAAAGAATCTACTTGCAAATGCAGACAACACAGATTGGATCCTTGGGCTGGGAAGATCCTCTGGAGGAGGAAACGGCTACCCACTCCAGGATTCCTAGATGGAAATTCCATGGACAGAGGAGTCTGGCAGGCTAGAGTTCATGAGGTCGCAAGAGTCAGACATGACCTGGCAACTAAACAACTATTATTTTGTCTTGCTTGACGGCTTTCCCTTGTTCCTGCATTGTTCTTACTTCTATGAAAAATATGAAATATATGAAATTTATGAAAATACATGAAATCTATGAAAAATATGAAAATACATGAAATCTATGAAAAATATGAAATATATTAAATCTATGAAATCTATGAAAAATATGAAATCTATGAAAAATATGAAATCTGTGAAAAATATGAAATCTATGAAATCTATGAAAAATATGAAATATATTAAATCTATGAAATCTATGAAAAATATGAAATCTATGAAATCTATGAAAATATATTAAATATATTAAATCTATGAAATCTATGTAATATATGAGATCTATGAAAAATATGAAATCTATGAAATATATGAAATATATGAAATATATGAAA